AAATAGTTTTCCTTCATTAAGACATCTAGCAGTTTAGTGCTACATTTAGTCACAAACTTTTCCTTTTGTCTTGTTTTTGAATCTCCTGCCAAAAATTCAACAAACATTGTTGTTTTGCCTCTACCTTCACCCAATTTGGTACCGTGTGACTTTGTTCTGTTTCCGTGACCACCATCTTGCTTTTGCGCTGTGCGTCTTTTACTGAGTAAAAAAGTCCTTACCCAAGTTTCTGCAAAATTTTCTCATCACAGTAATTGGAAAATTAAAAGATTGCTTAAAATTTGTTGTTGGAAGCATTGGAAATGTTCTATAGACTGACGTGAAGAGTTGGAAGCATTATACTACTAATTTCTCCCCTTTTAAGTAGCACTCTGATGCTTATCAATCATTAAATGTCGAAAAAAAGATGCCAAAATTAGAGGCGAGTTATGGATGGCAAACTACTACTCATAAAACGGTTTTAGGCAGCATACCTACGGCCGTGAACATAAAGGTGGAAGGGAGTGATTCGTCTCGTCGTCAGCATCGATTTGGTGCGTTTATGGACAGCAAGGTTGATGCATGAAATTTACTATCTGGGCCATCAACATCACAACCACCACCTTCAGAAATAAGGCCTTAGCAATAAATAAACAAAGACAACTTCATCATCATCTATTTGTGCAGCATTCAATCGTTCATTCCTCCATTCATTCCTCTCTCTGTGTGTATGTGTGTAGGTATACGATTGTTTACACTAAAATCCAGCTTGTTTAAACTAAATTTGTGCGGTTCGGATAAATTAACGGACCCTGCTAAAAGGTGGAAGGAGGTTGTAGCAAAGATTGCGCTGTCTGTCGCAGTTGTGAGGCAAACAGCGAGACAGGCAGGTAAGGAAAAAAAAATAGCAGACTGACAGCGAGGCAGCGATGGTATAAGCAAACAAATTTTGTGCTACCGGCTTCCATGACTTGCATCTACAGGTAGAACATGCCAGTCAATTGAGGCTGATTACACAGATCTTGAAAAAAAAACGGAAATTATTTATTTAACAGTTACTCATATTTTCTCCCAGTTATTGTAGCTTTCCCCCAAACCATAAAGCTAATGACGAAATTCTGTGTTTCCCTAGCCCTTCAAAAGATGACACATTGCAAAATCGGGCGAGTTAGAGTTGCAATTGGACTTCGACTTGTATTATTCGAGAAATTTCAGTAGTTTAAAAAAAGGAAAAAGAATTCTTTTCCTTTGGGTTACCCTATACTTGGCACCAAAATACCCTTGAATGGCTTTATTATACTGCTTTACCTTGTCTTAAAAAACCAGGTTGACTAATTATCATCTTAGTAGTAGGTTTGGTATTCAAAGGGGCTTTTATAATTTTTAATGCCACTGATTTGCTCATCACCTTTAATAGCCACAGAGACTAAGATCGCGTAAATTTACTGCCTACTTATTTTGTATAAAGTAGCTTGTTATGGTAAAGGCCATAAATCCCATCTATCAAATTCACCCAGTTGGATGAAGCTAACATGATTTTTCTTGTTTTACTTTTGCTGATTCAGCATCTTAAATGGTTGTGAAAGCCCTGTATAAGATGCAGGCTGACTCCAGTATTTATTGGTTATGCTGCTTCTATTACGGAAAATTGGGAAGCAATTCTCCGGATCCGGAACCTGACAACCGTCACCAATGGGTGTACTTTAATTCTACCGTTAAAGTCGAGACATTGGCGGTAGATTGGGGTCTGTAGAGATGACAGGATGTCACTTGTGTGCTGAATTTTCATCGGTAGGACTCAGAGTTTGGTCGTTGAATTGAGCGAAATGCCGGTCAACTAGTGTAAGCAACCTTGAAGAAGTTATCAAATATTTGAGTTCAAAAGTTGATCTGCTTGTTTAAAGATGGAAGGAACCTGAGAGACAGAGCTCGCTGGAGTGGCACGGACAGAGCCGCAGACTATCATTGTTTTGGGTGCATCGTGAAAAACTGGAGAAGAGTATATATTTGCAAAGGCACTCCAAATTCTTTTTTACAAAGTAAACTCATCAAAAGCTTTAACAGCAAGACATTGTTGTGGTCACATTTCCTAAGGTTTTGCATATTATTAGCGGTTTATTTACTCATTATTCACCAGTGTCACATATGTGTGACACAAGTACTTTATCGGCTGCTTATAGCCTATTATTATCGACAGCGTGTCACACACGGAATAAATTAGGTAATTCCATCTATATTTCTTTGTAATTCCTGTATTTAAAGTGTTCCTCTGCATTTAACAGATCTGTGATCCTTCAAGTACCCTTTTAAATTCTCCAGAAGGACAGAAATATGGACAAGATGGGAGACACTCAATTTAGGTAGAATTTGACATGCCTGGAGACAAGAATATACTATTCCTTATTAATTTTATCACAAACAAGGCCAAAAGGGAAGAACTCTTGTTTCCCGCCAGCTCACACGTTTGACAATATTAAGTCGAGCACGAAAGTCAGACTCATCTTGCTTTTTCCTTCACAGTTCTACCAAGTTTGGGCTTTTCTCTGCGCTCTTTTATGAAAGCAAAAAAGCAAGGCGAGAGATAAAGAAAAAGCGTATTACCCCTGCGCTACCTCCCTTCCATCTCCCACCGCCTCCTTCCCATTTTTCTCCCTTTTCGCCTCTGCCTCCTTCCCCATGCCCTGTGGAAAAATAGGGAGCAAAAAGGAGGAGAGCTGAGGTTCATTTGAACGCGGCAAGAGCGGCATTTGTACATGTGGGTGTGGGTACGGTTTTTATTTATGTAGGCATGGTGAAAAATGGGAAAGAGGTAAACAAGGGAAGTTGGAGAGAGAGTGCGCAAGAGGTAGTGAATGAGATAAAAAAATCGGCTTCATTTGATTTCGAAAAAGGGAAGGGGGATGGCAAGAGGCGAAAGCCCGAGGTGGGGAAGCAGGTCGAGGTTCAGGGAGGCGGAGGGGACGATTCCGAGTCAACTGACGAGGTATTAGTTAAATCAATTTGACAAAAAGGTGGTTGGACGTCCTTCTTCTTCTCTCTCTTTTTCCCTTTCCTTTCCCTCGTGTAAAAAGACGTTTTTGTAGGAGAAAATTTAACAGCCTTCATTTTGAAAACATCCCGATTTCGATGGAAGAATAAATTAAACAGCAGTTTACCGAGTAAGGAGGGTCCCCTAAAGAAGATGAGGAAAAACTGCACCATGCGAAATGAAAGATATTTTCTTTTCCTAAAATATGGAAGACCTCGGTTGGTAAAACTTTTGTCCAATTTCCTCAGTATAACACCGCAGGAGGAATGCCCACAACCCCTTTCAATTTTCCAGAAGGTCAAGTTGATGGATAATTGTCATACCTTTCAGAGTCGTAGCTTCACTTAGTCTCTTCTGATTGGTCCACATCCACCAGACAGTGAGGGTCAAGGTCACTCATTTGCCACAATTACACGTGATTGAAATCACTGATTTCAATGCAGGCTCTTACTCGGCGGCCTTGCCTAGTCAGGAGGTGGGTGCTTTTCAATGGTTCAACCAGACACAGGGGTAATACCAGGGAAGGGGAGGGCGCTGGGATTAACCCTTTAAACACAAAGGTAGGCGAAATTTTTGACTACCACTAACTGATCTCAATCCCAATGCCACCACTTGCCCAAAAGGTGGTTGAGTTTTGTGCCGAAGGAGCCTCCAGATTGGCATCTCTCCCCGCAGTTACGGTCAGAGGTGTTTGCACGGTCAACTTCCTGATTGCATCCCAAAAACGGTTGTGTGACTTCATTTAAGTCTCCTTAAAACAGAAAATAAGTTAAAATATTTGTCCTCAAAAAAGGAAAAATTTGACTGTGTTTTCTTTTTTTGATTGCATCACTTAAACATTTATGACAGCTCCGCTCTTGGAAGGTAGTTTCATGCTCCACCGCCATTTAACGCACCACCAAGTGATGCCATGTTTTCACCTCTAAATGATTAGGGGAAAAAAATAAGCGGAAAAGATGGGGGCGATGACGAGGATGATGGTGATAACACCCTCAAAAAGGCACCAAATTTTGTGGGCACATTTTAGATAGAAGCAGTAACTGTTTCACGACTTCCACATGTCTCGGTGCCACTTCCATATGTGACGCTCCAAGGCGAGGAGAACGTCAACCACCTGTGTGACGTTCTTGACTTCTCAATGGGAAGAAGGAAATTTGTCGTTAGCTCGGTGGAGGAGTCTGTACGTGTATTCCAACGTCGAACTTAAAATCTGATGGACCACTTTGAGGCCACAAGATCTATCAGCATGACTACATCATTCTAAGGCAGCCTCCTTACCTTGCTATTCGATGGACACTAAATTCCGGAGGCTGTATACGCCTTCTGCTACAAGTTCCACGCAGATTGGATGTGTAGAAACAGACTACAAATTAGGGCCGTAGCCACTACTCCCGAGGTGTTCATAAGGTTCAAATATCCTACTACAGGGCTGCTGTGGATCCCACCACCGCACCTAGACTCCCCAACCTCGGGCGTTGGGTTCTTTTTTACAGGCCACCTCCCGTCCATGCTGACACGCCATCCAAATACTGCCGCAGTCCTGATTGATGACTTCAGATTACCTACAAGGTCACCTAATAATTTAAACAAAGAAAAAGCTGTTTTCTCCTACTATTTTCAAAAAACCCTAATGTAGCCATGCTGTGTCACATATGTGTGACACCTTATATGGTTGCAGCATCCCGCGCCTCAGACGGCTTGACTGGGTCTAAAGCAATAAAACGGGTAAAGCATGTTACTCCTCTAGAATACTTTCCATTTTTAAGTAAAAACACTTAAGTTATTCAGTTCTGTTGTGGCACTTGCTAGGTCCTTGTGTTGTATGTAGCCTTGGTGGTAGATTTTTCTCTAAGACTGCAATATTACTCTCCACAAAGTGGATCCGAGGTACCAGTTTTGATTTACTTTGCTCCGCAGCAGCAGTTCTCCCATATTTATTGGCTCTGGTCATACCTATGCTTTAGGACTTTTGACTATATTGGATCAGTTGGTGATGGCAGGGGACACTGACAACCTGTCAGAGGAGGCACATGTCTGCGGTATCAATTATGCAGGCAATGTGCAAGCACTGGCGGAAGTAGCGGTGTCGGCTGCCACCGACGTATTTCATTATTCAAAATCCACCTTCCTACTGCTGCTTCTGCTCTGCTTCTGTCGTAATGCTTTCTTCCCCTTTAAAAAATTCCCCCTTTTTTATTACTTCTGCAGCATTTTTCGCCTTCTCCCTACTTCTGCCTCACTTTTCAACAAGTCTCTCGTGCAATTTCAGGACATTTTTGTCTCCCGTAAATTATAGAAAGATGGTCTTGAGCAGGGAGACTTCGATTAGATCGCTTTTGCTAGTGGAAGACCTGGTATACTGAAAGGAGGTTGTCAAGCTGGGTCAAGCTTCTACGTCTGCTGATTTTAGTCTTCCCCACGTCACCTCTATCTCCGGTCTCTAAGCCCTTTCGATGGCTTGCAATAGAACTGCTTTTCAACTGATATTTGGAGGCAACTTTGAGGGGGTGGGGTTAGACACCTCTTTCACCTTCCTTGAGATATTTCAGGCCCGTATTTGGGCAAATGGATTACTTTGGCTATCATAACTACATTCGCGGACAATTTGAGTTGATGAATAAAAAAACTGAGAAAAGTTTCCTTAAATAGAATTTTGCTCGGATTTCTCCCCTTCGTCTTCCATCACTTCTCTCCTCTTTCAATCGAAACATCTCTCGGAATTGTTTATGGATTCTTGCCCTACCTTTGGATCATTAGAGTTACACTGGTTCACTACCATCTCATTAAAAATCGTTTCAAGCATTTCAAAGAGAAAAACGTCAAAAATTTATAACCTGGAAGGCTGCATTTCTGACTTAAAATTTTACTCGGAAATGAATGGGTTTTCTTCCTTCTTTTGGTAAAAAGGTGAGAAAAGAAAAAGCGACGCGTATTTAGGTAGATAGGAGAGGAAAGACGAGACGAAGCAAGACGGCGCAGGGCAGGCGAAGACAGGGGTGCACGTGTCATTAAAAATGCAGAAAGAAGAGGAAGATGGCGCGCACCTTCCCTTTGGGACCTGTCAGCTAGACCCGACATGCCGCCACCGCCATCCAACAACGACGCCAACTGTCTAAAGATGAAAATAAGAAGAGGGAGTAAGGGTAAAAGGAGAAAAGGGCAAATTAAGCTTTTTTTATTTCCCATGACTTGCCTACTAATTACAATTTCAGCGTCAGTCGATATGACTATCTTTGTCTTTCCTAGTGACTTATCGGTCATTTTTTACGTCTACGTCCGTCGTTATGATTAACAATTAAAAGTGAGGCGAAGGGATACTGTAGACTGTCGAGTTACAACTCAGTGGCCTCCTGCCCCCTGTTACTACTGCTATCTAAGCATTTATATATCAGTGTCCTCCATTGTGGTTTATTTTTATCACTCCTGAATTATCGATAAGCATGTGTAGTGTTGGTTTTCGAGTACAAAATAACCGTTTCCTTAGTATTTCCCTACTGACTAGTTTACTAGCATACACAATAAATTTGAGCACCCAAAATTGAGTCAATGGCTCAAGCACTTCATCCTCTCCCACTGGTGGTCCAATAAGATGGCATATAATTTATGATGGCTTCAAATTAAGCAAATCTAATCAATTTTTACTTAATATATCAATCGTTTAAAACATTTGACTTATTTTCTTACTCCAGATGTCCTCAGATTTGACACATTTTTTAAAGAAACATTTTAATGTCAGCCGGTGCGCTCGGCAATAAAATTGTATACAATTGTTAACATATTTTCTATTTTATTGAGAAAGACCCAATAAAACTTGCCTATTTTTTCAGCACAACCACGCTGTTATTGCTGTGATTATTACTCTCCATCATAAAACTGTCAGTATGCACTATTTAATGGCTTTAAATACAGGTTTTGATTCGCCCGCCTCTTCCTCTCCTATTGGTAAGAAAAAAGGAATGTATATATAAGACAAGATCTTTTTTCCTTCCACGTCGTGCTCACCATGGCAGTAGCAACGTGGATACTAGGGAAGTTGGTTGGTTATTTAATTGCCTGCGCAGAAGGATGGGATGATTGAGAGAAGGAGAAGTCATTCCACCCTCCATTTATCCACCTCTACCTCTCGATCCTTCTCTGACGGCCGTCAACTGATAGTAGGCATTGACGGCATCTTTTGCTCGTTCGCTCGCCTGTCTGTCTCTATCTTGCTCAAATTGACAGGTTGACGTTTCTTGCCTCTGCTCCGCCTCCACCGACTTGTGCTGCGCATTTCTGCCTCCAGCAGCAGGAAATATTTATTTAAATGATAAAAGCAAAAAAATTCCCTCCAAATCCACCTTTTTCTCGCCTAAAAGTCGGTGTTTTGGGGTCTGACGTCATGGCAGCGCTTAGCGCACCGAATTATCGATTTTCTCCGGTTGCAATCAGCTGATCAATTCAAGAGGCTGACTGCTATCGATTTTTCACCCCTCAATCAGCTGATTCCGGCCAGCGATATCAGCTGATTTCTGCTCGAGCCAGCAGGCCATTTACAGTGCCTTTATGCTTCCTTATTTCTGTGTTTTTCCTATTTAAAACGCTAATTTTAGCTGTTTCTTTATGACGTCCCTAATTTACAAAACCACAACGTTTAACAACTTGTTGAAAAATTCCCCTCTTTCCTTTTTTTCCCCAGCATAATTAAAACCGTTCAACTTAAAGCGCTTAAGGTGTGAGTGTTGATGATTTAAGCGAGTGCATACCCCTTAAACAGTTGTGCTGGTGCCTTACAAAAGTGTATGTAATTAGTCTCCAACTGCCAGGGCGAGTAAGACAGTCAGATGATTGTTTGAGGGAAAATTTTGTGCAATGCCAATGCTTCGTGAACATGGCGTGCATTTCGAAGGCGTATTTATCATTACCGTCGGCTGTGTGAGCCAATGCAAAAATCACTAGGGCTTCTAGCTATTGTCAAAAGCCTAATTGGTGAGGATTAAAATTACCCGTTGTGGACCATGTCTATTTCACGCCCCTCATTAATCTCATTTTCCTCCAAAAGCATTCATGTGTGTGGCTTTTTAAGGCAAGGCAAATGTAACTTCCTTTAGCTCCTTCCAGCATTTCAGCTGTAATGCCCTGTTTCACTAAAATAACGAAGCATTGAGTTGGATAACTTTTAAACCAAATATTTGGTGCAGGAGATCGTTGGATGGGAGATTGTGACCCTAGGACTGTCAACAAAATGCAGGAAGTCGTTATTTTTGAAAAAGTCTTTTTGTAAAAAAATAGAAGAAATATCGTTTATCATTTTGTCGGCCATAATTAGGTTGCTATTTTTTCCTCTCTCTCACGGGTACAAATGCATTTAATCAGGTTGTCATTAACAGAAAGTTTTCTTCCTGATTGGCATTGGTGAATTCCTGGTTCTTTCCTGAATATATTAGAAATATGCCTATTTAACCATCCTCGTCTCTGCTATACATTTTTTTTCTGTTCAGTCGTCGTCAACTGGAAGATGTGAGCAAAAATCAAGTTTTCCCTCGGCTAAAATTTCTTTGAGTTTCCACCTCATTACAAGCCTGCTAGTGGGGGGAGAGCCCATGAGCTCGCCTTCTTGAGAGAGGATCGAGTGATTCCTTGCCGAGCACATAAAGGTAAACTTAAGCGGGGAATTTGCCAAAAATGTGAGGCAAATTCTAGGTGGTTGTCACCTTTTTAAACACTATCTCGGTCGCTCCCTCTCGCTTTCGTTCTCGCTCTCTTCTTTCCTCTGTCTTTTTGCATTGTACGAAGTAGAAAAAAAGTCGGCGATAGCAGGGGCACTGATCAGCGGTAACTGGTCGGCATTGTCGGTAGATGCAATCTTTTATGGCATCGCAGCACGAAGCGCCTCAAGGTCCTGACATTGGTATCGTCTTAGCTATCTCCACTCCTCCTCACCTCCTCCCTTCTTCTTTTTCTTCTTCTTCCGCCCCCTCTCCCTTCATCCGACTTCTTGCTTTTTTTCACTTCCCGTGGGCGAAAAGTGAAACTCGGGCAGAATTTGCATCTTTAAGACTGACAAGGTACAAAATTGACCCGATTCGCGCCCCGAAATATGACTTTTTGAGGGTTAATTTGAGAAGGCATTTGGTGTCCTCTCTAGATTGAAGTTGAATAAAAAAAAAGGCCTTAACAATCAAATCATATCTGGTGGGGGGCAATATTTCTTCCTCCTGATTAAACTCATTATAATTAATTATGAATTTGACTTCCGCTTGCAAGACCGTAAAAAATTGCCTAAAACAGTTGAAATTTTCGCTTTGCCTAGTTCAGCGAATCCCACATCTTTCAATTCAGCCTTTGCACTCAGGATTTACTCATTCATGCAGCCCTCATTATGTCTATTTATCCACCTACCCAACCATTCATTCATTCATCTATCCATCTACCCATTCAACCGTTTATCTATGACTTCAAGCTTTCCTTCGTACATCACTTTTCCAATCTGAATCCATCTGTACCTCCCTCTATCTATCGTTTCTTCCATTCTTCCTTCATTCCCTAATTTTTTAATTCATCTATCCATCTATTTACCTATCTCACTGATCATTTACATCTCTACTTAAACCGAACCCACTCGTCTAAATACCGATTTCACCATTGCATTGTGACTTTTAAAGACACCCTCCGATCTGACAATATACTTATTTTATTAGGCCAATTATTTAATAACTCTAGTTTGGTGCTAAGCACTTTCTGTCCTAAAGGGGCTAATCAACAATTTTTTCCTTCCTTGTCTCTTGATATTCAAGTACCTTAGGTAGTTGGTCACTTTGATAGACTGACAAAAGTTCAAAGAATAAGTGTGTTCAAGGCCAATTTTTGGTCTACTCAATTACCCAAATGTTTGAATTGCATTCGGGGGTCCTTCCGTATGAAAAGTGGTGTCCTACAAGGCGCATTGCATGTTCTTGTCACAAGCGTTAGTCTATCAATCAATCCCTTTCATAGTTATATGTTCAAATCGCTTTCTCCTATTTACTCCTTCTTAAGAGGTTGATTTTT